GAAATGATAATGTTGTATCGTCATACAAATTTTTACATAACCCAACAAATGATGAAAAATATGCTTCTTCTTTTTTAAAATTTTCCTCAAAAAAAAAGATATTTATAAAACTGCTAGAGAAATATTCGATAGATTGTATGGGTTATCCGATTCCGAAAAAGATCTAACTGAAGAAACGCCCACTAGCAGCAATGTCAACACTGAGCTATCACTTGAAGAACAACTACATTTAGCTATAACAAATACAACAAAAGAAATTATGCCACGCCAACGTTGCGATAATGATAACCAGAATCTTTATCAGACACTTAAAAAAGAATGCAGCATATTCCAAACAACTGGAATAAAGTCACAAAATTTGGAAAAAATAAAAGATACATTATCTACAATAAAACCAACTTTAACGCAAAACGAACCTAATTTCTTGACTGCTAATGATTTTGTTACAAAGAAAAGAAATTGATTATCAAACACGTCATTGAATAGATTACGTTTTTTAAAATATTACTTTAAAAACAATAAATAAAAATTATTACTTATGTGTTTATAATTTGTCTAACTGGTGTTTTCATTTCACATATTTGTATTAGTATTTTTTTCTTTTATAAATTAACTAATAAATAACAATTAAAAACTTATTAAACTTTTATATTTTATAATTTTAAAACTTGTTTTTTTTTTTTTTTTTAATTTTATAATTTTTAAACTTTTTTTCGTCTAATTGATATACAATTTTTTTCTTATATTAATAAATTGGCTTTTATATTTGTTGCTCTGCTGTTTTTTTTTTATCCAATGTTTGTCCTATACATTTTATGAATATAAATTATATTAAAATTATAAAAAAACTACGATTTTGACATTTCTCAAAATTTCTTGAGAATTCTGGAGAAGCTCATTCTCGATTTCTAATTTCTTGAGAATTAAAAAACATCGAGAAACCTTAAATACTATATATATATGTATATGTATGTATATATATATATATATATATATATATATATATATATATATATATATATACACATATATAAATATATATATATATATATATATATATGTATATATATAATTTATATATATATTTATATTATAATTAAATCACATTTAAATCACCATTTGAATATTTTAACAGCATTAATTTTAAAGGTTTTCTCCACAGAGCTTACTCCATCTGTAGTAAATATCATTTGCAAAACAAAATAAATTTTTTAAATGATATGTTTATTGAAAATGAGTACGATGGTATGATGGTGTATAATAACCCTCAATAAAGCTATTGAGGATTATTACACACCAATTTCATTAAAAAAGACAAAATTAAACACAATTCCATCAGAATGCAATAATCTCCCTGTAGTGTCTTTACCATGGGTACCAGGCCTTTCACAAAAACCTTGAAAAATATTCCGAAAAGCAGGGTACAGAGCAGTATTTAAATCAAACCCAAATTTAAAATCTTTATTAACACCAAAAAACAAATCAAAACTACCAAGTAACAGCCAGCCTGGAGCCTATAATAAAATAATAAAATGCAACTGCTCCAAAGTTTACATAGGTGAAACAAAAATGCAGGTAAATACGTGGATGCATCAACATCAGAGGAGCATTAATGAAAACGAACCTAATTAATCTGCATTAGCATTTTATTAAACCTTTTGCAAAGAAAATATTATTTGAGAAAAAACAAGAACCTTAAAGGTAGAAAATAAAAAGTTTGAAAAAAAAATTAGAGAGGCACTAGAAATACATAACAACATGGGCTCTGCACAAAATGGCAGAATTAATCTTGATGAAGGTCATTATGTCAAAACTATGTTTTGGACACCATTTTTAAAATTTAAAAATCAAAAGAAGCCATTCAACCGCTGATGTCAATAATAACAATTTTATATAAACTATAACAATTAAAAATTATTGTAATATTTTACAAGCTGATGATGTTGGTATCCATAACCCAGCGAAAATTTATTATATAATAAAATGATTAGTATTGAGAGAAACTATTTCTTGATATTTTAAAATAATATATAATATACTCTCATACAAGATGTCATTTAATATATATATATATATATATATATATACATTTAATATATATATATATATATATATATATATATATATATATATATATATATATATATATACATATAATATATATATATATATATATATATATATATATATATATATATATATATATATATATATATATATATATATATATATATATATATATATATATACATTTAATATATATATATATATATATATATATATATATATATATATATATATATATATATAAATTATGTAGTGTAGGATTATTTGAAAAAATACAACTTTGTGATGATACTTAAAGTTTCGTGTCTTTTGGCAACAATCAGTCATATTTATTCTTTAAATCAAGAAAAAACCGTTAAAAAATACAAAATACAGAAAATAACGGAAAAAACAACAACAAAGCAATGGAATGAGTTCTGACGTCAAAACATAAAAATTTTTAATTAGAAAATTGCTTAATCACCCATGTTGAATTGGGCGAGAAAATACCTGTTTCGATGCCTGTACTTAGATACTATTTCACTTTTTTTTGTTCAACAGGTTTTGATTTTTGGAGAAAAAAATTTCATATTTTTCATTTATGCATAGTTTACAGAATTTCGTGGTAGAGTTGTAAGCATTGCACTGTTTAAATATTTTCCATTTAACAACTGGATTTAATTTTGCATTATTTAATTTCCAAAAATTTTTTAATAGTTCAGTGTCATTTTTGTATTTAATAATGTTATATATTTTTCATATGGTTGGCATGTCTTTGAAGTGTTAGTAGAATCATTGGAACTTATATTAGTTTGATATACAATGTTTTTTGTTAAGCATTGGTTTGATAAAGGACAGATATTCTTATTATGGCAGTTGCAGTTGTTTTTAGGTGGAATTTTTGTTGTTGTTTATAATGTATTGATTGTGTGCATTTAAAATAGATTTCATATTCGGCATATAGCTATAACATTTTTTTATCATGTTTCTGTTGAAAGTTTTGTGAGGTTTGTGATTTATTGGGAAGTGTTTGTTGATTAAGGTTAAAAGCTTTTTCCTACATTAGTGCTAACATTGAAAGGAGTGTTAAACCAAATGATGTTGCATTTACGGTTCTTGATATGAGGTAAACTTATGTCATCTTTTAACAATTCTTGGTTATTGTTTTATACTTTATAAAATTTAATGTTTTTTATTAGATCTATCAGATCTAATAAAAAACATACATTGCATACATTGCTTTTTAATACAGTTTTAAAAAGTTTAAACATTTACTTACATTATGCTTACTTTTATATTTATTTTAATTTTGATATTGTAAATATAAAAAAAAAAAAAAAAATACTTATGAGTATTAAATTTTTAACAAAATTTTTTTGACAGTTGCGTGGAAGGTTTAATTTAAGTTTTTAAATAGTTCACTATTTTTAAACAAAATGTTTTAAAATACTTACAAAAATTTTTTGAACTTTTGTACATAGATATTTTTTTTTTGTTTATGTACATTTATATTATAATTTTTTATCATGAAACAAATTTTTATGTAACTTTTAAATAAATTTATAGTGATTTAAAATTGTTTTAAATATGATAAATAAATATTTAATTTAAATATTTAAGGCTTCAAAACATTGTGAGCAATAAATGAAAAAACTTATTTAAATCGATAGCTTTTAAAGGAGAATTTTTTTCAAAAATTTGATAGCTAATAAATGAGAAACTTGCTCGCTAACTTCGATCAAATAGAATGTTAGCTAAAGTAAATTCATTTCGGAAGTAAGAGTTAATCCCAGAAGATTAAGGGTAGATACAATAACGATTGGCTGAAAAAAATTTAGTTTTATCTGAATTAAAAAAAATTTACGTCAGATGAAGAAAATATTACATACATCTACGCCAGATGAAGAACAGATTTATTGTTTTATCACTCATTCCTTGTAAAGCATTCGTTGCTATTTTAGAATTAATGTGTGAGATTTGTTCACGACACGAGGGAGACAAATAAATTTAAATATCTAGTATACCATGAATTTAGATTTAAAACAATATTAAAATACAAAAATTAAATTTTTTTTTTAATATACAAATACAAATTTTATGTAAATTTTGTATTTGTAAATTAAAAAAAATAATAATCTTTTGTATTTATAAATATTGTTGTTGTAAATTAAACTTTTGCATTTGTAAATAAAATAGAAAAATATTAGAAATAATTTATTTATACTTAATTATTTTCTTTTATGTTTTATGCAAATATAACACAAATGATATGTTTCATTGCAAGTTTTATTTTTTATTTTTTTGTTGTTGTTATTTTCAGTGAAGTTTAACAGCAAATTTAGTATACCAAAAATATTTTAAATTCCTTTAATATAAAAGCATCATTTTAAAGCATATTACTTATTATTTATTAATATGCAAAGATTTTCATAACTTAAAATAACCAGTAAAAACGTGAATAAAGAATTTTTGAATAAGAATAAATTAAAAAAAAAATTTTTTTAAAATATTGAAAAATCCAAACTAGAGAATAACTGACATCAAATAAGAAATAAAGTTTTTTTAAATTTTTGAATGATTTATCTTGCTTGTTAATGACAATACTATTTTTCAAAAAAAAATTTAAAATAAATTCACTTCTTTGATGTGCGTACTAACTACATTTTCTATGTGCCTAGCTACATTTTCTATGTGCCTAGCATAACTCTTTAAATCTAAGCCTGATGCTTGTATTTGTTTTTTTTGTTTTTTCACTATGATTTTTTGAACCTATGGGAATTTTAAACTGATTGGGAATTCCGTGCTATATGCGGTGTCATCAGGCTGGCTAACACCCTGACTTTGTTTAATAAAATTAGCTTATTTTATAATGGGACATATGTTATATATACAAAGTAACTCAACTATAAGTATTTGGTTATAAATGAAAATGAAATAATTAAAAATCAACTTACCTGAACAGGAGTACAAAGCAAAAAAAGAAGCAAATTTTGTAGTGACAAGCCACGAGTAACATAAGGCCCATTTTGTTCTCCAATAAATGAATATGCAATAACCACAATAAGAACAGGAATTCCAAATATTAACGAAACAAGAAAAGATAGCCTCCATCTAATAAAACAAGAAACTAATCTTATGCATAAAAAAAAAACACAGAAGAAAACAAGGTTAGCAAAAAGAAAAATTCTGAGCAATAATACGAAGTTATATGAGTATACTAAGCCTTATTAGTAGACTCATTTATATAATATTTATAAAATATTTATTTAATTCTTATAAAATATTTATATAACATTTATAAAACATTTGTATAATATTTATAAAATATTTATATAGTATTTTTATTTGTTTGTATAATGTTTATATAATATTTACAACTTTAATATACTTTAAAACTATTTTTAAATAAAGAATAAGATTTATTAATATGCAAAGTATCATAGGTTTTAAAAACTATATTACTAACAACTCAATGTCTAACTAATATGGTTACCATTCGTTGGTATTACTAACTAATATGGTTACCATTCGTTGGTATTACTAACGAATATGGTTACCATTCATTGGTATTACTAACGAATCTTATAATAATCTATTGATCTGACTGGGTCACTCTGAAATATTAATAATTGAATCATATTGTAAACATGAATAAATAAACAAGTATGTAAAAAGAGATATTTTATCAAAATCAAACTTACTAAAGTTAAATAATTTAAACAAAAATAAAAAAATTGAACTAAAGTATTTTACAATTTGAACAGGTAACAATAATTTCTGAAACTAATAAAAATGTAAAAAAAAAAGAAAAAAGATAAAACTAACTTTTTGATACTTTTAGAATGAGATAATGCTTCAGCTTTGCTATGATCATTAGCAGGTATAGTAGCAACAAAACCAAGGTTACTAATTATTTCAATAATGTCTCTTGCACCAATATTTCTAGAATCAAATGTTACACGGGCCATTGATGTTGTTAATGCTACTGATGCAGACACAATTCCATTGTGTTTAACCAATTGTGATTCAATAGTATGAACACAACTTGCACAAGTCATTCCGTCAACCTAAAAAAAATTTATAACTTAAAAAACCAATTCTACTTAAAATGATACAAAATTTTTATATCAAATTTTTCCTAATAAAGTGCAAAAAATGTGCAAGTATTGAGAGGCTAAAGGGAATGCAAATCAATACTTAACTACAACGATTGAATAAAGAACAAAACACCAATGAAGAAACTTTACATGATTATTAAAAACTGATTTTCAATACTTAAATTAATTAATCTGTTAAGAAAGAAATCATTCTCTAGAGGTTAGTACTTTTCTATCTAAGTGTATTTACCTCACCACAGTGTATTTACCTCACCACAGTGTATTTACCTCACCACAGTTTATTTACCTCACCACAGTGTATTTACCTCACCACAGTGTATTTACCTCACCACAGTGTATTTACCTCACTACAGTGTATTTACCTCACCACAGTGTATTTACCTCACCACAGTGTATTTACCTCACTACAGTGGACACAGATGTAGAACAGGTAAAAATATTTTTTTGAGAAAGTCTGAATAATTAGTTATTTTGAAAACAGATAAATTCGTGGAGATATATGAACAAATAATGTTTCTAGTTAATTTTTAAGTGATGATATGTAATTAAGAGGTTGGTGAATTTCCAAATATTTTATGCACCCAGGCTTTGGCAGGAGTAAATGAGTGCACAAGCTATAAATAGCCATCTAAACCCGTCTTGCGGCTGCCCACCTAGATAGTCATGTGCAGGTTTTTTTGAAAATTTTTATTAAAATTATTATGTTTTGATGAAATTTTTTTTTATTCTGAAATTTTATTTTGTTGATTTTTTATGTTAGGTATAGTAAAAATTGTAATTGTAATAATAAATATCTTTGTTGCGATAAAAAGACAGAAAAACAACTTGCAAAAAAAAAAAACCTAACTTTTTTTTTAAATAACTTTTTACATTTAATCTTTATTTAATAAGTTAGTAATTATTTAAATAATAAATAAAAAATAATACTCAAATGTTAAAATATAAACAATCATTTTAATAAAACAACAATATATAAAAAAAATGTTATACATCATATAGCTGTTATTCATCATATAGCCGTTATACATCATATAGCTGTTAGACATCATATAGCTGCTATACATCATATAGCTGTTATACATCAGACAGCTGTTATACATCATATAGCTGTTATACATCATATAGCTGTTATATATCATATAGCTGTTTTATAAAAATGATCTTAGATGATCTTAGTTATATTATTATTATTAAAGTTTTAATATAAAAATTTCTTTGATTGCTTTATTAACAGTTAGGAGAGTGACAAAACATTTAAAAAGATTTTGGTAATTGAACTTCAAATAGTTGGATACTTGTAAAGTTGAGGTAACAGTTTTTCGAAGTTACACTGCAGTTTTTATCTTTCGCTCAGAGTTATTAGTGTTCGCTCTACTCAGTGAGTTATTGTTATAATGTTTTTGTTTTGGTTTTGTTTCTCAATTCTTATTTAGACTTTTTCTTTTATTCTCAAGTTTTATCAGTTGTATAATCGGATTTTTGCTGAGTTTATTCCAGATATAGTCAAGCCAATAATTTGTAAGCAACAAAAAAAAATGGCAGAAATACAACCTTCGCAACTATCATGTTTCTTTATTAAAGCATCTTGATGTTTACTTAAAAAATTTCATTATGAACGTTTCAATTTTGCAAGATCTATTTGAGTATTAATACATTGTCTTCTTAAAATAATGGAATAAAATAAAACATTTTTTATTGCGCTTCTTTAGTTGGTTCATTTTTCTATGTAAATTAAACTAAATTTTAAAAATTTGACGGTGATACCTCTAAGCTGTAAAGATATAGTGACAATTATATTGAAATCTTTTTTTAAATAAACCTTGAACCAAAAAATTCTATTCTTTTACAATTGTTTTTCTACTGTTTAGACTAAAACTTTAATTATTACTACCGTTTCCGTTCAATTGACTATCATACTCTTTTATGAACTTGTTCAATTGACTATCATACTCTTTTATGAACTCGTTCAATTGACTATTATACTTTTTTATGAGCTTGTAACTGATTTTATATTCTTTTCAGAATCAGAAGAAAATATATTTTATGTTGATGTGATATGTAAGTTAAAACTTGAGATAATCTAACTTAATTTCTAAGAGACTTAGTACAAATAGATTTTTTAAGATTCTGGTATATATACTTCTTAAATATATTCTTCTTAAATAATATAGCTGTGTATAAAAAAAAGTGTTACATGAATTTAAAAAAAAACAAATCTTTTTTACATTTTTTTATGAATAGAACCAATAAAAGGGTATTAAATTCAGTATTATTTTATATATCGGGTTTATTGCAGTAAAATATATTAAAATGTATTAAATATAAAAAAAAAAGTATGAAGAAATCATATAGTATTATTTTTATCATACAAAAGGAATACATATAGTTATAAATTATTTATAAATATTCATTTTAAATAAATTAGCTCAAAATATCTTCAATTTTAAAATCAAACCCAGTTTCTTCACCTTTACTCGCCTCAGGTGTTTCTCATTCACTTTCATTGTTTAAACTATCGTAAAATTGAATAACTTGATAATCTGAATAACTTGATAACTTTATATCAGACACTCTATTTATAATATAAAAATTGATTAGCAGTCTGTAAATGATAAATGAGATATTTGATTTTTAATAACAAGTTATATATTAGCATATAAAATAAACTGCCGCATTTTTTCAAAAATAACCAGAAAGTTAATGCGGAAGTATACAGGGAAATCTGCACTACTTTAAACAACTTTAAAGTTTAGACAAAATAGTTTATTGATCAATTAAGCAAAATATGTGATTATACAAAAAAGAAATTGTTTTTATTATCTAACAGTTCTTATTGTATAAGTTTACAAATTTCCAAAGAATATTGAAAACCCACACTAATATATCAAATTCTTTTGCAACGCATGCATATTTTGCATACTTTTTAACATAATAATTATTTATCTTTTAACATAGCACAGAATAATATGGAACAGTTATAGCTGTTTGAAATAACTTGTTCGATTTTAATTTTTTATTTTTACATCAGAATAGTCAAAAATTATTTTTTTCATAAATTTTTTTAGCATATCCTGAATAAAATAATTTTGTTTTTCAACTAGTAAAACAATCAGTTTTACAAAATTACATCATTTGAGAAGTTTTTAAAAGAATATCTAAATAAAAACATAAAAATATTTAACTTTATTTTTACCAAAAATCTATATTTTGCATAGGCTTTATTTCGCAGACACTAAAAGATTTATATTTTTATTTTGCAGACACTAAAAGATTTATGAAGGATTTCTTATTGATCAATCAAAAGAAATGTGGATGTAAGAAAATAATAGAAGTATTAATAGATGGTATTATTCCTTAGTAATGATGGTAACATTCCTATTGAACATTCACTACTTAAATTTTATTACACAAAAAGGTTTGACAAAAGCACACAGAAATGAATTAAAGAAAGCCACAAATTCTGAATCGAAAAAAAAAAAAAGTCTAATCAAAAAAGCAGATTACACATACCTATACAGATTATAGAATTTGGGTTGAAAATCCAGGACCATGTGTTTAAATAATATGCAATGCAAATGACTTTTACTATGCAAATGGTTTTTACTCGAAAAAGTAGTGAAGAATGACTACAATTAAATATGTATTACAACCCTGTTGAGAAAAAGGAACATTTACAAAAAGGTCACAAGGTCAAATTTTTCTGATGAACTATTTTCTACCATATTAGATATATGCATTCCTATGTTACTATTACATTCTAAAAACAGTCTAATACTTTGCACATATTGTTGTCAACATAAAATTAAAATTGACAAAGGTTGTGTCATAAGGCTACATTTAATATTGTTACAAATAAGCCATAGACACAAATTAACCAAACTTTTCAACTGATTGAATGATTAATTTAGCTGAGTCTTTTACCACTCAGCTAAATTAATCATTCTTAATTTTTTCAGTCCTAGGGACTTTTAGTAATTGTGATTACGCCAAAAACAGCATTTGATCACCTGACCAAGGCTGAGCAAAATTAAACTTAAAAAAAAATAGTTTGTCAGCTGTTTTACTAAAAAAAAACAGGTCTCATTTGTGAAATTTTGACAATTAATTTTTATTTTATAGCTTTTAAATCGATGATAACATTTCACTTACAATCATTTTACTGTTTTTTGTCTGGGACTGAAAGGGTTAATGATGGTTATGGCCTTTAGGGCCATCCATAAATGATGTCAGTAAATATAGGGGGAGGGGGGAGGAAGGGGGATGGAGTACTGAAAAGTTTGATAAGAATTGACAATGGGGAGGGGGAACGTTGAAACCAAAATAATATCAATTTAAAAAAAATAATTTAAGTTTATATTAGCAGATTTTAAAGGCGTCATCTACAATGTTGAATAAAAATGGTATATTTGCTTTGTATGGAATTTGATGTAAGTTTCCAAGAGACATTAAATAAATTAAAAATTTACCAACGTTTTATTATTGTATTACCATTTGACTGTAAATCTAATTGTTTACAAATATCAACAATTTGTATATAAAATTAACAATCGTTATTCCCTCCCTAACGGATTATAATATGTGCTTCAAAGCAAACACATTAAGTCATTTGTCATTATTTCAAATACAATTGTCATCATTTCAAATACAAAATTCTTTTTGCTCTCTAGCGGCTTGTAAAACTTGATGCAAAGCAAACATAGAGTCATTATTGCAAATACGAAATGCTAATTGCTCATAAGTGGCTTGAGAAAATTATTTTAAACAGCTGACAGGAGCAAAATCATTATTTTAATTTTGATGCGAACAATACTGATAAATCAATAATACAAATATGCACAACGCAGCGGATCTGATTTACATGAAGAGGACAACTTTTAGTTTGCAGAGAGCATTCATTACCTTTCATTTCAATCGAAGATCACTTCAACAACCCATGGGAAGATTATGAG